TGCCCCCTTCACCACCCAGAGGCAACCAAGAGCTCATCCACCCCCAGCTTATCCCCTGGCCCTAGGGCAACCTAGGAATTGTGGGACAATGCAAATTCCCGGGTGTCTGTGCGCCGATGTTCCCTGTCCCAGACCCAGCAGCACTGGGAGCAGGAAGAGAAATGATCAACAGCCCAGGCCGAGACCCCAACAATGGTCTGTGGCCTTCCCCGCTCCAAGCAGCCCCAGGTCAGCAGAGGGACCCGACCCCCTGCAGTGCACCGCGGCCTCAAACCCACCTTCACCAGCTTGTCCCAGCCGCAGGAGACGATGATGGGGTTGCTGCTGTTGGGGGAGAAGCGGACGCAGGACACCCACTCCGAGTGGCTCTCGTCCTGGGGAGAGGAGGGGGAGGAGTTAGAGGAGAGAGATCAGAGACCAGGGATCTCTCACTCAACCTAGAGCTCTGCTCTCAACCCTCCACTCATCTCCTCACACCTTAGGGGCTCCACCCCACCAGCCCTAGGTTCACACCCCACCAGCCCTAGGTTCACAGCCCCCCACCACCAAGGGCTCTACTGACCTCCCCCCTCCCCCCCCCCATGTGAGCTGCTGCTCGAACTCCCGGCTCAGGGCTCTGCCGGCCCTCCCTGCGTCCCATCATAATTGCAGGACATGTCGTCAGGCCCCAGGGGGGTCGGCAGACGTGTCAGATCTAATCATCGGGACTGGGGGGGCAAGACAGAGCCCTGGATCCTCTGCCAGCTGGGAGCAGGGCAAGTTCCCAGCAGGGGACACACATGGGGCAATTGCAGAGATGCTTCTAAATTAATGCATGGGAGCCCAGGGACTGTTGCTCCAGCTTAACTCAGAGGGGTTTCCCCAAAGACCCAGCGAGCGTCTCTTCCACGAAGGCCCCTTCTGCAGAAAGGAAAGGCCCCAGATCCCATCCCCCAGCTCTTCTGAGCCAACTGTTTGCCAACCACCCCCTTCTCTGCGAGGCTTCGGAGGCCCTTCTCCCCCCCCCCCTCCCCCCATGACCAGAGCGGCGGGTTTGCATTCAAAATGTAAGTGGGTTTTTACCACCACCAAACCCAAAGAGAAACAGTCAGGAGCATAGGACAGGAAATCAGGATGCCTGGGTTCAATCCCTGACTCTGGGAGGAGAGGGAGACCTAGTGGGTTAGAGAAGAGTGGGGCTAGGCATCTGGACTCTTGGGTTCTATCCCCGGCTCTGGTAGGGAAGCAGGATCTAGTGGGTTAGAGCAGGGGCCTGGGAATCAGGACTCCTGGGTTCTCTGTCCCTGACTCAGGGAGGTGATCGGGGTCTAGGGCAGACGCCTGACCCACCCCACAGCTCAGCAGCCCCATCCTATGTCTCACCTGCACTGTGTACTTGCAGACGCCCAGGGTATTCCAGAGCTTGATGGTTTTGTCCCGGGAGCCTGAGACGATCTGGCGATTGTCGGACGAGAAGGCCACGCTCAGCACGTCCTTGGTGTGGCCCACGAAGCGGCGGGTCGTGGTACCTCTGCAAGGGAATAGACTCTCCTAAGTCACTCCCAGGCCAGCTACGGGAACCTCTCCTCACATCCCAGCTACGCCGGCCTCCCTCCTGCTAGGAGCAGGTCCTGTTCCCAAGCCACCCAGAGAAAAATCCTCTTTAACCTCCACAGAGAGGAGCACAAAGGGTGGCGGCGAAGTGACAGGGGATTCCACTGAGACAGAAGCACATGCCAGGAACTAGCCAGGACATTAAACACGAAGGGGAACCCAAGATCCAGCAGCGGAGGGAGCTCAGCCAGATAAAGAAGGGGTTGATCCGAGGAAGAATGAGACAGGGTATTAAGACAAAGGAACAAAGGATTGTGATGTCATGGGGAATAAAAGCCAAGAGACAGCGCAACACTTCACTGTCTCTCCCGTTGTCCCATCATAATTGCAGGACATGTCATCACGCCCCTGAGGGGTCAGCAGACATGTGTCAGATCTAATCATTGGGACTGGGAGGAAAGGAAGGGGTGCCTCAAAAAATCCAGATGCCCCAATGGTTGGAATCAGGGATGATTGGCCACTGGGTACATCCAATCCTGGGCCCAGCAAGAAACTACCCCACACATTTGTGGTCTGGTTCTGGCCATTTCCCTGCAGCAGCGTCTCAACCTTTTCAGGTGTAAGACCCCTGATCTGATGTCAAAAACGTTCGCAGCCCCCCTGACGTTGACTATGAATGAATAAATAAAGGGTCGGTGATGACACGGCTAAACCTGTATAAATGACTGAGAACAGAGAACACTTGACTTGAAAGGGGAAGGGTGTGAGGGGGGAGCGAACTTTTGTTTTGCTTTAGGTTATAAGTGTCAATGCCTCATGACACTCCCCGACTGCCTTCGATGACCCCCATCAGGGGTCGTGATCACCCATTTCTGAAACACTGCCCTAGGGCACCATTAAGGGGTGCCACAACAAGCCAAGGGGCTCTAGGATAGGCATCCAGTCCCCCTTCCTGGCACGCCAACCCCTCCCCACTAAGGGGAGCTGCGATGGGCAGGACAAACAGGTCATGGGGCTGAGAGGAACCCGTCTGACTCTGTCATCCATAGGAACCCTGTCCCCTCCCACCATCCTTCGTACAGGCTCTCGCTCTGCCAAGGAAGCCCATCTGATGTCTGTGGTGCCCCCCCGCGCCCCAATCCATCACTCACGTGGTGAGGTCCCAGAGCCGCAGGGTGCCGTCCCAGGAGCCGGAGAGGGCGAACTGCCCGTCGGAGGAGATGACCACATCACTGACAAAGTGCGAGTGGCCGCGCAGGGCGCGCTGCGGGATCCCGTAGTTGGTCTCATCCCGTGTCAGCTTCCACATGATGATGGTCTTGTCTGCGTGGAGGGAGCAGGGAGAGTCTAAGTCGGCTAGTCGCCTCTCTAACGGGCATTTCCTCTCAGGGAGTGACCTGACAGCCCTGGGAAGGGGAACCTGCCGTTCCCACGCAGGCCTGGCATGACCCTATGACCATCCCCCCTCCATGCTATCCTGAGCCCCAACCTAGGGGCTGTCGCACAGGAGACTGGCCTCCGTGGCCAGTGCCAAGAGCTAAATACACCACAGCCTGTTCCCCACCATGCCCCTCAGCCGGCCAGCCAGTCCCACCAGCCTGGGGCTAGAGCCAAACCAGTGCTGCTTAGAGGAGAAAGGCCTCGTATCCCACTTCATCCCCCACACAGCGTGTCACCCCATGACCTGGCCCGACTGGCGCCAGCCAGTCCTGTATCCCATTCCTTGGCCCCCTCCCCCTTTATGACCAGATCAGTGTCAACTACAGGAGAAAGACCCCACATCCCAGCCCCCACCCTGAACCAGCCAATGCCCTGTTCTCATTTTTATATTCACGGGTCCAGCCCTGCCTCCCACTGCCCAGGCCTCTGCTAACACTCCTTCCAGGCATCCCCTCATCATTGCAGGACATGTCATCAGAACCCGGGAGGGTTAGTGGATGAGCCAAGTCTAATCATCAGGGCTGGGGAGAGGAGGCGTGGAGCAGCTCAATGGCGGTACCAGAGATGGATGTTGATGCTCTGACAGGGATGCCCACAGGGACCCACACGCGGGTGTGTGTGTGTGTGTGTAAATGTGCCTGAGGTGAGCTGCCAACAAACTGGGTCCTTACTGTCTGTGATGATTCAAGGCAGAGGGGGGCCGGGCTTGGAAAACCCCAACGTTGCCCCTGTGGCCTTGTCACAGGCATGTCCATCCCCCTCTTCTATTGAGTTACTCCTCCCCCATAGTATTTAGGCCTGAGACCCCTTCCCGGCTCCCTGCAGCTGGTCCCTTATAAGGCAACCTTATATGCCAGGTATCCAAGCGCCTCTCACTGGGTTCCACCCTCCCAGTCACCCCCGCGAGACAGGGTAAGTGCCCCCGTCACTGACAGGGAAACTGAGGCCTGGGGGGGCGGCCCTGATTTTCTGACATGCCCCCAAGATGGAGAGATAATTGGAGAGCCCCGGATGGGAAGTGCCCCGATAGGAGTCAGGGAATTACCCCTCCCCCCTACTGCATGTTATTCACCCCTAACCCCCCCCATATCGCCCCTCCCAACACTCCTCCAACCTCCCCTCCCCCTAGGAGCTCCTCCCCCCAGTCACATAGTGCAGCCCTGCCCCCTCTCCAGGGATGACACTGGCTCTCCCCCCACCCCCGGGAATGGATTCGCCCCCCCCTTCCATGGCTGAAATGGTCCCTCCCTTGCCTGCCCCCACGTATGAGAATTGGTCTCTTCCCCTCCCCCTAGCCAGATGGGATCTTCTTCCTACCTCCGGGTGACTACGAGACAGTCTCTCCCCCCCGCGCCCCTTGGAACCTGCCAGCGCGCTCCCATCGTCGGTGACTAGGTTCTATTCTCCCCCGCACCGTGAGCGCAGCCTGACAATGTTCCCCTTCCCCCAGCACCCGCTACGAGATGGTTTCTCCCACTCCCCCCCACCCGCGGCCGGGCGGTTGGTCTGGCCCGCGGCGCTCACCGCGCGAGGCGGACAGGATCATGTCCGGGAACTGCGGGGTGGTGGCGATCTGGGTCACCCAGCCGTTGTGGCCCTTAAGGGTGCCGCGCAGGGTCATCTGCTCCGTCATGGCGGCGGCGGCGCGGGGGGCTCAGCTCGAGCGGGGAAGGAGGATGGAGGCGGATTCGGCAGCAGCCCCGACCCAGCCCGTCCTCTCGCTGAGCTAGCGGCCGGAGAGAAAGGAAGCCCCGACGTCACCCGGAAGCGGAAATAGCCTTCCCTCAGCGCGGCCGTACGGCAAGATGGCAGCCGGCAGGAGACGAGGCAGGTCGCAAGATGGCCGCGGCCTTGTAGGCATTCAACTCAGGGAATCCCAGCGGATCCAGTAGTGGGCCGTCCGTACTGCTCGTCCTATCGGAAGAACTGTTCCCTCCTTGCCCCGCCTCCTGCCGTGACGCTCCCCCTTAGGTGACTTTGCCGCATGCGCAATGCTGCCAGGCGGGCGGCTGAAGTGGTGCTAGACCGGAGCGGGTGAAAGCCGGCCACGTGGGGCTGCTGGGGCGACATGGCGAGACGGGAGCGGGGCTCCGAGCGGGGCCCCAGACCAAGGCTCTGCGGCGAAGTATGTTCCAGCCCGGCCCCGGCCGCTGGTGCGGTAGAAAAGCTCCAGAGTGCAGCCAAGTGTCCCGTCTGCCGCGATTATTTCCGAGCCCCGGTGTCCATCCACTGCGGGCACAGCTTCTGCCGGGCCTGCGTCAGCCAGTGCTGGGGGGAGTCGGAGACCAACTTCGCCTGCCCCCTGTGCCGGGGGACCGCCCCGCACAGAAGCCAGCGGCCCAACTGGCAGCTGGGGGACCTGGTGGAGGGGGTGAAACCCTTGCAGGAGCCCGAGGGGGATCGAGTGCTAAAAAAACACAGGCAACCCCTGAAATGGTTCTGCGAGGAGGATCAAACCCTCGTCTGCGTGCTGTGTAAGAGATCCCGGGCGCACCGCACTCACAGGGTGGTTCCCGTCCAGAAGGCTGCTCAGAAGTACAAGGTAGGAAAACACAAACAACTAGCCGAAAGTTTAGACCTGAGTATACCAGTCCCCCCACCCAGGCCAGGTGGAAAGACCCAGGATCCCCATAGCTCGCTGCCAGCGCGGCTCTCCCCGACCCAGCTCTCTGTAGGAATGCACCGAGCATGTTCACAGGAAGCACGGGCTTCCCAGTGCTGGTGCAGGGGCTTCCCAATGCCTAGGGTTGCCAACCCTCCAGGACTGTCCTGGAGTCTCCAGGAATTAAAGATTCATCTTCAATTAAAGAGTGTTATGTGATGAAATCTCCAGGAATATGCCCAACCAAAATTGGCAGCACCACCTATGCGTAGTCATTGCAGCGACTCTTTGTCTGCTGTAACCTACTGAGGTGCTGCAGGAGCCTTAATTCAGTGAAACAGGGACTTCCCTACACCTCCCCACCCAGTGCTCATCTAGTTACGTGCAGTGTTGCCAGTTTAGTTATTGGTTGGAAATTTGAACTGAAATTGAAACATTAATACACACTTTAAAAGCATATACAGTGCATGATATTCTACTTTTTCAGGGACAAGTATTTTAGGTTTGAAAAGTATGAACAAAGACGAGCTTCCTCTCACAGCTGTTGTTTTTTCTGACGTTGACTTATTAGTTTTTGGCAATGTTGGCCAACCTTATAATTTAAAATTATGACTTGTAAGCAAGGTCCGAATGAGCTCTGAACCAGGGTGGGCAGCAATGGGGAGCCATGTGGGGGCCCGAGCAGACTCCTGCCCAATGTCCCTGCCCCACAGGCTTCCTACGCAGATACAAAATTTGTATCCGCATCCGCACTAGCCGCAAAAATGGTCCATGGATATCCGCAGATATGAAACGGTTACCCACGGATTTGCAGGGCTCTACTCTTCTGTGCTTGAAATACATGGGAAATATTAGTTTTGCCATCTGCTCTGGGGAGCCATATAGATGTGCTAAATGCCTAGTAAGGAATCTATTTGTCAAAAAACATTTCCTGAATCTTTTTGTTTGTCTATATTGTTACTCACATACTTGCTGACAGGCATTTTGAAATAAATTACCAAAATAATTGAAAATGGCATGATTATATTGTGTTGTTTTAACACCTAAAATATGCAGAATTTTAAAATATTGTGCACAGAGTTTTTAATTCTTTGGCACAGAATTCCCTCAGGCCAAAAAATATGTAAGGCCTGGTCTAGATTACGGGTAGGTCAACGTAAGCTGCTTTCCATCGATCTAGCTGTAGAAGTGTTTTCGTTTTAAATTGGCTCCTTCTGACATAAGTGCCTTTCTATGCCAACCTAATAACACCACCTCCCCGAGTGGCGTAGACTCATGGTGGATGTCATTACGTTGAGGCAGTGTCAGTGCAGACACTGTTGCTTGCTGGGACTGTTACTGGCTTTCAGGGACTGTTGCACAATGCCCCCCACTGACTGTACAATCAATACAAGCGCTCATGGTGATGGTGTGCACCGCCGACACAAAGAGCCAAATGTGTGCGCACACAAGCAATTTAAGAACTGTGATGGCTGCCTGCTGACATAAATAGTCAATCCAATTTTGTCACAGAGACCTGTCCTCACATACCATGTTTCTTTGCTCAGAAACCAATCCAGACGCAAGTGCAGACTTGGAAGGAAAAGATAAAAGATCTCAGATTCAGACAGTCCAAGGAGAGGAGAAAACAGAAATGCCTGGTATGTGTTTGTTATTAATCTGTAGGTATGTGTGGGGTGCATAACGGGACTGCTGCTTACTGATTTCCCCCTCTTGACCAGGGGTGTCTCTGAAGGGCCCGCCCCTCCATTTTCCCCTCTCTTCAGGTCTTTTAAGAACTCACAGAGGCTTTCTCTGGTTGCCAGTACACCTTCCAGGGGTTATTTTCATTCAAGAACAGTTTAGAACAACCCAGAGTCTTAAACTGAAGTCCATTCCATCAACACAAAGAAAAGGTCCATACTTAGCTCTAGAGAGAGATGAGATGGGGGAGGTGATATCTTTTATTGGACCAACTTCTGTTGCTGGAATGTACAAGTTTTCCAATGCATGGAACTCTTTGTCAGGACCCAAAGAAGAGCTCGACAGTTTGTATGTTCCACCAACAGAAATTGGTCCAATAAAAAATATTACCTCACGTACCTTCTCTTTCTATCATCCTGAGACCAGCACAGCTACAACACTGCAACCAACTATGGAAGATCCTTAGCTTGCGCACTTTCTCTCGCCCCCCAGGGCCCTTCTTCCATTCTGATCTGATCTCCCAAACATTTCCCCCTCGCTGGGGCCCACTCCCAAACACAGTCACGGTTCCCCCCTACCCCAAGTTTCCATCTTATTAGTCTTTACCCTCCAAGCTTCCTGGTGTCATGTCCTGCCTTCTCCCCCATGCAGTTGCTTTCTCTTCAGGTGGGGCTTGCTCTGTAATCAGGATTGGCCTAGCTGCATACTCTCTAGCTCATGGGACAAGCTGCCCTGTTCCAGAGTGTCTAGCTGTGCAAACCCAGGAGACTCTCTTTTCTTTACATGTATGTTTGCATCCATGTGTGTCTCTTCTTTCATCTCTGTGCGAGCATCGTGATTCTCCTAATTTGTTTGTCTTGATCTATGATGATTTTTTTCACCTTCCTTTGGCGTCTATCACAATAAACTGCTGCAGTTGTCGATCTGAAACCTGCTCTTTGTGTTTGCATTGTTGGCGCCCAAGAGGCAGCACAAGGAAAAATTAGGGCCATCACAGTGTTAATAGACATTATGACCAAAGTGGGAATCTTTGGGGAAAACACCGATATAGTAGCACGGGGAGAGCTTCTGTCAAAAGGCCCTGTTGACATTTCACAAGTGGCAATGAAATTCTCCTGAATGTGCACACATGGCCAAGGGGGTCACTGGAAATATGTGGTGCAATGTATCATATGACAAGTCCCCTGCCTGCCCCTTTCCCTATTTGTGCCCTTCGATTACAGGAGAGCACAGGTGCTGAGAGACAGAAAAATATGCTGGAAATTATGCAACTGCTTCAGTTTATGAAGGAAGACATGGAATTGGTGATCTACGTAGGAGAGAGAAACTTTTTGATGGAAAATGTGGAGAATATGCAAAATGAATATGTCGCCAAACTCTCTGCGGAGATTTCCCGTCTCAGCGAGCTGATCGACGAGATGGAGGGGAAGTGTCGGCAGCCAGCGAGTGAATTCCTGC